GAGAAGAAAGACATCTCCGAATTATTATTTCGCAAATAAGAACTCACAAGTTTCTTTCACAGGTCGAAATGAACGAAAATGGATGCGCGAAAGAAGCGGAAGAGATTGAGGATGTTGTAAACGCCACAAGCGCAATAATTATGTAAGACTCTCTCTTTCTATTACGATTTATAAGTTCTCGTCATAGCTCCTCGAAAAGTTAATCGCCGGTCGAATCTTTCCGGTCGATAGCAGTTTCCTGAGATTCCCGTCGTGATTCCTGCGATACAGATAGGTGTATCAAACCTCGGCAGGTGATTACTTTTCACAATTACACCGCGCCGTTTCTCTCGCAATGGGCGATGCATTTTCTTCCTTTCGCAATTACTTATCCTGCCATTAGCACCGTTAGATACTGTCATTGATGCACGTTAGAGTCACTCGAAGATGAAAGCGGGAGAGAAGGAGGCGTAGAATTGACGAAAAAAAAAAAAAGAGAAACGGCAAGTCGTAAATGCGGAAACGGGATACGAGAACGGTGGAAGAGCTAGCGGGATATGCCGAGAGCTGCTGGTATCTGAAGGGTGAAAGGACGCGGCTCCGTCGAAAGAAACGGAGAAAGAAAGACAGCTGAAGAACGTGGAGAAACGGGCCGAGAGGGGCTAAACGAGGTACGGAGCGGCGGCTTCAAGGCTCGATTATGTGATATAAAGTTGCCAGAGTGAGGGGTGACGAAGGAGGTCGGAGAGGGATGCACCCTCGTTGATTGAGCCGCCACCTCCAACGTGCCGTGAACACATGTGCTGGTGGCAACGCTCTGATTGGAAGCCAGATGGGCTCTTCAGCCTCTTACCTCCGAACACAAATTCTCTCTCTCTCTCTCTCTCTCTCTCTCACTTCCATCTTCTCCTTCCCTCATCTTCAGCGTCTCCTTCTTCGATATCCGAAACTCGCAGCCGCCCCGCGCAGAATACCGCAGCGGATGACTATCCCGCGTCGGTTGTCGCCAGTGTTTCATCTGGATAGATGTCTGCGATTGCCATGCGATTGGGCTTAAGACGAATCGGATTTATCGCGAGGAAGAGAGAGCGCCGATTGAAATTTGTTCGTTGTTGCTTAGGATTTATCGCACCGCTAAATAACCGACGTTTTTTTTTTTTTTGTCAATCTACATTTATTTTATTCAATATTTTATTTGTTATATTTGAATTATATGTATATTTTAATTTTTTTAATTCAAATATTAATATAAATAATAAAATATAATAAAGTGCACTTGTGCTAATAAATTATAAATGCTTTTTCTATATATAAAAAGTGATCATTTTTTTTGAAAAAGGGAACTATTACAAAAACTTTAAAATAGAATTCTTATTTGATACTTAATTATAAAGATGTGTATATAATGCAAAAAATTGAACAGTTTTTAAAAAATTAATAAATTTAATAATCTCCCTTGATAATCGATTCCTAATTTGTTTAAAGAATCTAAATTATTAAAAAAAAATCGGTGTAATTTTAAAACTTCTACATATATGATCTTATGTAATAAAATATCTTTACGTTTGGATATTTGGATCGTACAATCGTAGAAAGTTTTCTTATGTGATTGCCGTGAGAAGTTTGCAGGGAAGGTTTTTCGTGAAATGGTGCTATGCTTTATTCAAGCGCTCACTTCCTTTCCTATTGCACGAAAAGACGCGGCTACGACAATCGTTCTAACGTGCCAAGAACTATTCAAAAAATCATTGGTGGAAAAAGCCTACCATTTTGCATTAATGGTGCAGTTTAAAGTTTGCGATCCCGCTTGATACGTCGCGATAGAATACATTTTAACGAAACGAGAAAAACTTGACATGCAAAAGAGCGAAGTTGAAAAAAAAATCTGAAAGAAATACTAGAGAAATGTTTTTGATACAAAAATGTACTTTTTTTATTCATTTAATATATATTTCCCTAAAATGTGTTTTTAACTGTACTTCTTAACGCAAATACAAATGAGAAAAAAATCGAGACACAGAAATTCATGACGTTGGTTGTGACAGTGATAAATGAGAGACTTTCCAACAAAGACTCATGTTCGCAGCAATTAACTGTTTCGTGAAATAATTGCTCGAGTTTACTTAGCTTCTCTACTATGTCTGACAATTTTCGTGCTCGATGCGCGAGGCCTATTATGCGAATTCCCTTTTATTTCGCCTCCGTAAAAAGTCTTGGTCTAGAACGCGAAGTCGTATTCTTCGGGATCAGCGGGTGGCGTCGCTTTCTGTCTAACGCAGTGACAACGCTATGACAACGTCATTATAGCGTGCGGCTCGTTACATCTTTGTCGCGATGATCTCACCCCTGCGTGACAATCGTTACCGACAACAATTGTAACAAAAATCGCAGTCTATTAAGAGAGAATCTCGTACATTTGTAATTAAAATCTGAAACGTCAGGACTTGTTCATTCCCAATAGATTTTCACATCCGTCGTTAAATCCTTTATCAAGTCGCGTCGGCGAAGAAAACGCGACGTTTCTTCCGCTCACCGTAGCGGTTTACGAATGGACATAAGCGGGCTTGTTAGGAGGAGCGAGTGGGTGGATGGCGGGTGAATACAAAGATTTTCACCGTAGGAGTTGGTGCAGTCGAGAGACATACACACACACACACACATACATACATACAAGGGACAGTTCACTAGCGTGTAGCCATCGGCGGTCCCCAGAGGTGGCGATCCTGTTGCAAGCCGAACCTGGCCTGCGGTCGCCGGCTTGTTAGATCCAGTTTGGGGTCGCGGCATCCGAGCGAGAGGGTGGAGGGCACCACTCTTCAGTAGACCGCAATCGGGTATGCAATTTACGTGGTGTCCGACCTCTCTGCGATCCTTCCCTCGTCGAATCGGTGCTTCCACTTCGACCTCTCTCTCGTCCTTTCCATCCCACGCATTTCGAGGATTCGCACTCGCGGACCACCAAAACGAAGGGGTTGGTTCTCTGCATTCGATACGCAACAGTGAAAACGTCGCACACGAATGGTAAATCCTGACTGCGACGCTAGTTGACGAGAGAGAAAGAGAAAGATAGAAAGGGGAGACTCGGTCTGAATGAAGCGGAAGAACGAAAAGCTGTAGCTGTCGCGAGCAGAAGTTCCTACGATCGTGGGGGTCGGTTTCTTTTCTCGTGGAGGTAGCCATGATTTCACCTGGCCGGGATCTCTATAGCCCGAGGAAAAACGCGCAGGAAATTGGTAACAGGACGGCTGCTTGAACACGTGAACTAACAATCTGTCGACGTCGAAGAATGTTTCCGTCGCCATTTCCATCACTCTCTCAAAAGATTTTGCGCGTAACACGTCGAAGCGGATAAAGAGAAACCGCAGCGTAAAACACATTTCGCAATATAAATAAATATCTTATTTTATTTTATTGTCAAACCATTTATTCAAATAACGCTCTTTGTTTCTCTGCAAAAGTATGAACAAGAATATATGAAAGATTGTTTGTAATTTTAATATATTGTTTATGAAATAAATTTTCATTGGATACATCTTAAATATTGCTCGATAAGTTGGTCTTTTTGAATACATTTGTTGTTTTATACAATACACGAGCGAATTCAAAATTTTAATTGATATATGAACAAGAAATTTCACTCGAAATGAATGAAGAGATCATTCTATTGTATTTACTTAGCGCCAGGGGTGAATGTAATTATTGCGAGCAGTTTACGCGCTTTACACGACTATCCGTTTAAGGCCCACGTGCTAAAATCTCAGGCCGTTCGACGCGTACCAATGCAAATGTCAGGTCGAACGGCATTATCCGGCGTAACGTGCATGTTAATCAGACGAGGCTACGTCGGGTGCCAGCACCGGTGGCATAATTCGCTCAATTTACAAGCATTATCGCGCTCGTTGCATTTAATCGCTGAAAATTAGGTTACGCCACCGAGCTGACGTGACCACGCTGCTGCTGCTGCTGCTGCTAGCTTTTGCCGTATTAAAATCTTTTTTTTTTTTTACGCTTTTACACCGCGCCGCGCTTTTACGAAAGAAAATAGAATCGATGATTAAAAAAGCGATATAAAGGTGTTTTTAGTTTTAAAAGGGGCGACTGCGTGATACTCTGATAACTACGCGACGTTTCTGTTTCAAAAAACTATAACGAAATAAAAATAGATTTTCGTGATGATGTCTCTCTATTTTTACCCGAAATTATAATACAAGTGGAGTAATCGAAGTAGAGTTCTCCCTAAAAAAAAAAAACGCGTCGTCGTACGATCGTCGGCAACACGCAAACCAAACAGGCATCTACTTTCACCTCTATGAAATTTATGTATGGAAATACGTGAATAACGCATGTGGAATATCATAGGTACCCGGCAGCTGCGACGACGTACACACGCACATACACACATGCACGCACATCTCATAGGGAAAGTAAATTCTAGCCTAGCGAAGCCGCCATGATAGAAATGTGCGCTTGAACGACTTTTTTCTTTACCATATCTTACCGCTTTTCGCCACATCTCTCGAAGACATCATCATCGCAAATCCAGCATGTTCGACGAGGGACCCCGCAGGCACGATAAAGAGAAGCGATAAAGCTCTATGTACACTCTCGCGTATATGCTTGACACACGCGTTTTTTCAATCGCAATGATGGTTTTTTTCTAACTAGCAATGCGTCGAGTAATCGCGTAGAATTTTTCCATTTTTCGTTTATTCTGCATAAAAGATATAGATCAATTTGCACTAAGAATATATTTTATGTCAAATATACTTAAAAAAATTTTACACGCATGATGGTAGAAAATTATTATAAATTTTGTAGAAAACTGTTCAAATTTTTTTGATTGTCGAATTTTATATTGAATATCCTCACCCTTCGAATATGCTGGATTTGCGACGCTTTCGAGATGCGACGAAAAGATGTAAGATTTGTCTGCAAGGAAAAAAGTTACTCGAGCGGATATTTCTAGTACGGCAGTTTCACTAAACTCAAATTTCCTTTAAAAATTTGAAAAATTATATATCTGCAATATATTAGATTATATTTTTATTGCCAAAAACTATTTCTTTAGCAAGCTACAATTCCAGAATATGTTAGTTTAGCTTGTTAATTTAGCAAAACTATATAAGCATACAGTACATCATAATGAAATTTTTGCACACACTTTAACACATTTTATTTATTTTCCTCGCGTTTTGACCAATCTTGCTCGTACGTCGAGTTTGACAACGGTCTTGCGTTTATGTCGCACAGTGCACTTTACGTAACCATCACAAGACGGACCATCTTGTGGCGTACAGGGACGAGAGATGCGTGTATATTTATAGTCGCCCTTCAGTGAATCTCCCTGTAAACAAAATAATGCATCATTATTCTCCGACATTATATAATAATAAAAATTATGTAATAATAAAAATTATATAATAATAAAAATTATATAATAATAAAAAGAATTATCAAATTCAAATTACTTACCTGGGATTCCTGGATCATGGCATAGACCAGGATAACCACGATTAGACACAACACTGTCGGTCTCATGTTGTAATCTTGCGTACCGAATGTTTGCATCGCAATGCAATAACGCGATATTTATACTGTTAAACATCTCTCTATTAACAATAAGCGATATTGATAATGAATAATTGCACGATCTGTTTCACCAGTCGCGTGCCATTTAATATGTTTTGTATCAGCAATATATGTACAGTTGAAAAAGTGCGGAACATCAAAACATGCTTTGATGAAGCATGTTCCGCATTTTTTTCATTGTATATTGGTGATACAAAAGTTATCATATACAGAAGCGTCTAACAAGTGTATTATAGACTCTAATGTTACATAGAAATAGAAATATTCAACCTTGACATTTAAAAATACAACGGCGTCTAACAAATGTATTATAGACTCTAATGTTACATAGAAATAGAAATATTCAACCTTGACATTTAAAAATACAACGGCATTATTCGTCATATCTCTTATACTATTCTTTAGACAGACAAATAAATTAATTTCATTTAAAAATACAAGTATACAATAATAAAAAAAGGATATATATATACAAATAATAAAGAATACAATTATATATAATCTAATGATAGTTATAATCTTTAGTAAAAAGATTGTTATATACGTAATATTTTGTGTATTATTGCAGTATAATAAAATTAATTTAATTTAACGTGACTCGCGATTAGAAATTAAAGTGCTTCCTCTATTGTAACGTAACTGCAAGGAAACGAAATATACTTTCGCCGTTATTAGATTGCGGTATTAACGAAGCATCGCGCTCTTTTTCCGCCTGTAATCGGATAATACGTCGACAATGACTATCACGGGACGTATTACTGAAGGGAGTACAAGGCGGATCCAAGCCCTACATGCTTCGAGATTATACGGTAATACAACCTCCTCTCTGGCACCCTCGTCAACTCATACTGCTCTCGCTGTACCCCAACAGTCGAAGCCCATCTCTCTTTCTCCTTCTCCCTCCATTCCCTCTTTCTCTCTCGCGTTTGGTATTTAATCGCCTTTTCCTCCCTATTGTTGACCGATTTGATAACGCCTAACGGCACCTTATACGAGAAGAAAAGAAAAAAAGAGGGGGAAAAAAGAGAAAGTGATGAGAAGAAAGGAAAAAAGAGCGAAAAGAAAAGGGTTCGTACGTATATAAGGGCATCTTTTGATTTATGTCGTCGCGTCTATCGAATGACGCCCAGCATCAATCATGTGAATGGAGGTATCGACATGACGTATGAGCCATCGAGCGAGAGCCGCGTATGCGAATCTCGGGACCCGATTCGACAGGCCGGATGAACGCGAGGAAGGCAGAATCTTAGCACCCCTTGGCTGCTGTTGGCCCCTTCGATTTAATTCCTCATCTTCCGCGTTGTCGCGCAAAGGGTGGGATGTTCATTCCCTCTCGCGCAGTAGAAGTCGAAATTTATAAGAATGGAAAAGGTGTCGGAATTATATTTCCGAGGATTGCCATTCTTGCTCTCGTGTCTGATCTTTTCTCTCTCTCTCTTAGGAGTTTGAAGAAGACTTATCGACAAAAATCTTGAGAAATCCCTTGAGAAAAGAACTACGAACAATTTAAAAATAGAATGATTTTCACGAGCATTACAATTTTATTGAAACTACATAGCTCACATTAAAGTGTACAATAAATATATATCAATAATATATTATTAAATATATTTATAATAATATATTATAAATGTGATATTAAAAAGAAATATATGTTTAATGTATTAAGTTGTTTTTCTCTTATCTTTAATTTTATGTCGGAATAAGCACGAGATTTTTAATACGTATAAATATTTGATCTCACACGTTTAGCAGAAAAATTACAAAAAAATAAATAAATATATATATATATATATATATTATATTATTAAAACCAAAATATATATATATATATATATATATATATATAACACAACATCCACACACACATAATGTTTCTTTTTTTATTGATTGGAGTTTATCCATATAATTTAAATATTATATAATGATAAAATAAATACTATAACAAGCATTTTATAACATATCTCATTTATACGAGTTCTCATATGAATTTAATCTTCATGCGGATTACAGGTTAATATTAATCTTTGCTTTGTATTTAAAGCTTTGATCAACTTTTTAATTGTAAAAGTGAATATTTCCATTTCGCAATTATTGAAAAAAATGATGCAATAAACAATGCATATATTATGGCCACTAATTCTATTAAAAGCTACACGCTGAAAAATCGCGCTAAATTACATGAATCTTCGTTGCACTTGTAGCAACAAGAATAACGTAATAATTGATATAAATGATTCAATTTAATATAATAATGGTTTTTACACAGAAAATGCGACAGCACAAAATAAAAGAGGATGCTTCTATCGATAAATAATGCAATTTTCAACAACACAACGCTTTCTCTGTTTTATATATTTTTTTTTGTTCTTTTTTTCTCTCTTTTTTTTTATAGGCTTTGTTATATAAATGGACGTGCATTTTTTCGGAAAATATGCTTTACACAGCACGGGACCACGGCCTTCCCCGATCGTGCGCGGCTGGCGCACGTGCGTGATTGGCAGAAATTCATTTCGTGCAATTTACATGTCGCGCGGAAATTGCGTGTCTGGTGCGCATTTGCGGCATGAGGCCCTTTGTTTAGATGGCAAGGTTTGTCATCGGTTCTCTCCGCGCGTTGAATTGTCGTACGAAGTATAGACAGAATACGAGGGTGTCGTTAGAGGGTGACTCCAAGACAGTCACCGGAATATTGGGCACAGATGCACGCAGACGCCGTCAAGATTATTCACGAGCTTGATAAAGATACTTCAATTCGCACAGCGAAAATCCGCTATCCCAATAAAAATTTCGATGACTCATTTTTCTTAATAATATAATAGTATTTTTTAAAATTTTAATTTATATCAAGGCACCATTTTTTTCGTTTACTGAAATTATATAAAAAAGCCTTCTTTAAAAAATTCTTGTTTACATGATTTTGTATTTTCTTTTTTTAGAAAACATTTATGGTTTGTGTACGGTGTGGCAATTATTTAATGAGAACATATATATCTTGTAAAAAAATGCTAATTCAAAACAGATTAGTGGCAAACAACTCAAATGTAATTAAAAAATTACTCCCGTAGAAAGCTGAATGAAGAAATTTTTAATTAAATTAAATTAAGCATTTCATTTGGCTAAAAATATATGTCGCGAATATTTTTGAGAGATGAATATACTTCTCACACATGGGATGCACTATTCCGAAACGCGTGCATCGCGCAAAGCCACGATGTTTGCCGATCAAACAGACTTTATAACGAGACGAGCGCGTGCAGCCTGTTGATGGAAAATATTGAATGAACATAAGCTCTATTGTTCTTCGTCATCAAAAAGGTGGCCAGTTTGTTCGCGTTCGGTGGAGGAACTCGCAACCCCTCTGCTATTGGCAGGGATATACCGACCCTTTGCGATTCAACACAAAACAAACCTATTCAGACGAAATATCGAATGCTCCTGACACCGATTCACGGAATATCAATTTAATGATCGAAAGCTCAACATTCGTTCACGCGATTACCCGAATCGAATTTTTCTCGTGAAAGAAACTTCACCAGATTAAGTCTCGTGTAATAGTCTCGTTGCGTCGACATCTTGGTGTCTGTTGAATTGAACTGTATGGTTTTACAATATTTTAATCTAAAAATTATATCTATTGTTTGCGTTTCCTCAATACTTATAACATTGCATTTTGAATGGCAACAATTGTATAGTGTATGACTACTTTTATTATAATAAACTTTTGATCAAACAAGAAAAAATAGTAGAACAAACTTGTTACAGTATATACACATTTAAATATAAAATAAATAATATTTAATTATTGTTATATAAGTGTAATGTTTCACACTGTATTGCTAAAAATGTAAACCAATAATGGTCATATTAAAAAGAGAGAGAGAATTTGATATATATTTTAAAGAATTAATATCACATCAAATTTCAGGAAACTTATCTTTAAATTACACAAGAAAAATAATGCTAGTATCATATTATGATACGAGTATTTGATATGCATGATGTAAGAATGAAAGACTTTAAAAGACATTAAATCTTGACAAACATCCCTAACGTAATGACGACTGTTAGAAGCGCGTGATGAACACTTGAGATAGATCTGCAAATTAATCGACGCGGGAATCGCGAGTGATCCATTCACCTATGTCCATCCTTCTCCCGCCGGTATCAAACAGTGGCCTCGTAATGGGATAGCCCCGACCACAATACGCTCTTCAGCCAGGCGGAAGAGAAACAAGGAAACAGCATTACCCGGGAAACGCGCCGGTAATCCCGACCGATTCAAGAACCATCAGTATCGATGGATGTATCAACGTCATTGTTGCCATCGAAGTCGGACCACGCTATCACTTTGCGAGCAGCTGTATAGACATTCGTAGGATAATAAAAAAAGTAACGTGGAAAAAAAAACAAATATACATTAAAAATTGCGAAATTTTACTCGTCTGGAACCTCCACGATTACGATTAAAGTTCGAGTGATTCAATTTCACTTCGACGTCTCGTGATGTACCGATCTATACTGTAATTAGGATTATACGATCGTAACGGCAAAACACGAGTAGCGCAACGCGTTTATTACGCCAATGGAGTAAATTACATCATCCATTGGAATACACGCACACGCAGGATGCCATTATCATCGACTAACGAGGTGATCCGAACGAATATTGGCTTACGGAAGCGGCGCTATTTCGGCCGATAATTAGCGCATCGCATTATCCCACGATCAACTGCGGAAGTACCGCACGAAAGATCGATTATCGCCTGGCAAATCGTCGATCGAGACGTTAAGCTCGCGGGATCGCGTTGAGATCAATTTCCACGTGAATTTCCACGTGCAGCGCTACATGGTCGATTGAAGAGAACGACACTCGCACTCGAGATCCAAGGATTTAGGCGTGTGATGCTTGATGAAGTGGCCATTGCGCTAAGTCTGATCAGAACGCCGAGGATCGGCCGTTAGGATCGCC